GGGGGCTGCCCGCCCTGAACTCGGCCGGAAAGGCGGCTGCACCCTCCGGAGTGCGCTTACACTTCTGATTATCCTCCCGGGAGCGATAATTCCCAGTAGTTATCTGGTTGGCAGTTTTCCTCCTTTGGAAGCCTCAGCATCTCTAGAGCTGACTCTGTTGCAGAAATAGATTTTTTTTTTTCCCCTCATCTGCTTATTTGAATTTCCCACCTCTTCCCCCCCAGCAGTAACGCTAACAATTTTGACGCTTCCCTCCCCAACCAGCTGAGGGTGTTATCGGGAGAGGGGGGACGATGAAGGAAGCCCCACGGGGTCAGCACCGTTCCGCCTTTCCCCACGGCTCCCGGAGCGTTTGCCGGGGATGAGAGGGATGAAGCACCGGGCTCCTGTCTCCAGGGGGGCGGCCTGGGAGCCGCATGCCGCTGCTGGAGGAGCGCGCCCAGGGCTGCGGGCTGTCTGCTCGGACAGAGCCGGCTTGCGCCAGTTTTTGGACAGCAGCGCAAAAACTTCCCTTTAAAAAAGGGAAAATCGAGAACTCCTGAGGCCAGCTGAGAGACGCCGTGCTGTTTAAGTCAGAAAAGCTGCGGCGTGGCTGCGCGCCTCGGTGCCCAGCACCCCCCGAGGGCCTCTGCCTCAGCCTATTCGGCACCTGGGGGAGCAGGGTGATCGCCTTTGCCTCCCCGGAAAGCCACAGTGAGGTGGCCATTTCTCCTGCAGGAAGTTTCAGGCAGAGAGGAAAGGTGTACGGGTGTCATTGCTGCGGCACGGAGCCCTCGGAGGCTGCCCGGGAGCGGTGCGGGGCCCGGGCCCGGCGGGACGCCCCCACACCGCTCCCCGCCGCCGGTGTTGGGAAGGAGCGGGAGTCTCCCAATCCCGAGGTTTCGCTTGTCACGTGAACCGTGCTAGGAATGATCGTTTACGTCACCCTGGCAGGAAAATAATTTGTACTTTTTTTTCTGTCATATTTTCATTGACATCCACCCCAGCAGATGTATACCAGAAAATACCAGAGTGCAGGGAGAATAATAAAGAAGCTTAAGCTAAACGATTTGCCGTAATTAGGAATGCTTCGAGCTGATAAGAGTAAATTGGAAAGTATTAGCCTCCTACCTTTTTTTTTTTTTTAATGATGATGCTACCCTAACCTGATAAATAAAGTCAATAAGAAAATTTACATTGAATAGAATGGGAACTACAAGGAGTAATATACTTCTTTTAGCACGACGACCGAGAACCAAGGTACATTTTCGTGCTGCTTAAAAGGCTGCCAGAAAACACCTTTTTTATACGTTTGCATAATCCTCTATCCTCCCCCAGTAAAAAAGTATTGTTTTTGTTATTATTTACTTATCAGTTACAGAAGAATGGCAGAAATCTGTGAAGAAAGAATACTGAAAAGTTGATATAATCTCGAGTTGAGCAAACTCAGAAATTCGCTGTTGCCAGAACAGATTAAAAGCAAACGGCAGATTTACGGGGATTTGGCTTTGTCACAGAGACGTAGTTATGAAACACGCTGATTGGTATGCATGCCTCATTTTTTTATTCCTTTTTTCTGTTGTTGTTGTTTATTTTATTCTGAAAAAAGGTCTATTTTTAACAAGGTAAAAAAAAAAAAAAAGCCCAGCGAAAGGGAAGAAGAAAATTAGTAGAGTGTGTGTACTCAAACTGGCTCGTTCCTATGATTGTAATCGTTCCCGGCTCCTGTCATCCCTCCTTGTTGCTTTGGTTGAGTTTTTGATGCGCTCGGAAACCG